CTCTTTAAACCACATTCGTATAAAACATCCCAGCTCAAGTCCCACATACCTCAGAGGAAGTACCATGGCCCATCTTCTTCTCCGCAGTCTGATCCTCCTCTTCATCAGGTGGAGGCTTGGCAGGCGGGGGTGGACGTTCTCTCTGCGGTTTAGAAGACCACTGTCAAGTGCGTTGTGTTAGAGCACGTCCCCTTCTGCTTCCGCCAACACTACATCCATGCTGCTGTGCATGCAGCACGGTAGGGACCTCCTCAAATTAATCTGGGTGGAAGAGAAGTTCAGTCCTAACAGCACAGAGCTTGGCAATGGTTGCTGTCTTTCCTCCTCCTCCTCCTCTCCAGCAGGATCCCTATTCGGGCAGAAAGCCCTTTCTGCAGATTCACCGTACTGCAGTCCTGCGGACGGACGGCTATCGAAAACACAGACCACCCGCTTCTCCGCAGCGGTAACACTGCACAAGGCCAGCTCAGACCCACGTGAGCACCAGCTACGCTTGCAGGAGAATAAAACTGCTTGGGTGGAAGGTGCTGTGTACACAGGTTTATTGCTTCGTTACTTAAGCCAGTTCATTCAGACCCAGACTGGTAATCTGAACGGCACAGCGTTTCGCAGTGAAGGTCAGTAATGAACTCATGCAAATGGGTAGAAAGGGAAGACTCATCGCTTGTGTCTTAATGAAACGGTAACAGGAATAAGTGATTCCCGAGGCACCTTTTATAGTGGAAAACCCTAGAGATCAAGAGACACTGCTGCACTGCATTCCTCAAATATCCCCGGACTGGCTGTGGGCAGTCAGAGCTGCGCTGCCTGGTCTCCGTGCAGAGCTCAGTGCAGCTCCAGGCCGCCTCCTGCCCTGCCACAGCTCCATCTAATGGCAAAGGGAAAGACGGCAGAGGAGAACGGCTCCCTCCAAAAAACTCCAGCAAGTTTGGGAAGAAACTCCAGCAAGCTCCTGGAGCACGTCCCGCTCTTCTCCCTTTTCACTGCAGTTCAGCCTCTCATCTTTTCTTATTTGTGACAGAGCTGAGCTTATTTCACATCAGACATTAGCAACACAGGACAGTACATAGATGGATATAAGCCCCCAAGATTTAGTTAGTAACAGGAGAGTGCATCTTGTGCTGCATACCCTAAAGAGAGATCTGGCTGAAATGTCAGTCTTCTAAGGCTTTTGTCTCATTTCTACTATATTTGCTATATTAGCAGGAAAAAGGATGCACCTCTTTGCAGAGAGAGAAGCAGCACGGTTTACAGTACTGCCAGCAGTTTAATTGTTCATTGCTGCTTTGCCTTTTGTCCAAAAATACATCCACAGAGCAGGCTTTGTAAAACCAACCAGAAACCAAACCCTGAAGCTGACACAGCATGCTGCAAGGCCAGCATCCCGTCTGCCCCACAGCAGCGTTGCCACCGATTGCTAAGGGGGCAGCAGATGCAGCTAACAGAAGGTAAGGAAGACTTCTCTGGAGACAGTTCCAGGAGCTTTGCATTGCCTTGTAAAGCCTTGAGTACCCTCTACAGATTTCTGCAAGTAATACACACACAAAAAAACGATGTTTCTGCTGCCAACTAGTTTCCAACAGGGTATTCTTAAAGATAGTTTCTTGAAAGCCTTCCCTTGGGCAAAGCAGAGAGCAAGAGAGATGAGAGAAATGCTCCTCGCAAAAGTTTCCAAAACTTTCTTCTAGACAAGAAGTTAGCCCTTCAGCTAAGTGCAATGTCCTGACAAACCAAAATTCACAGGCACGAGTATTCAACTGCCAGAGAACAGAAGGATGCAACACTAGGTGAAAATCAGGCATGTAGAAGTGGCTACTCGTGGGCAATGTGACGGAGGTTATGTGAACAGGCTGGTGAAAAAGGAGAGGTACCTGCCTGCTCTAACCAACGTCAGGGACGGGTTTAAAGATTTCCTCAAGCTGGGGGATTGGTAGCCTGCTGCAAAATCATGAAAACAGAGGTAAGTTAGTTATCTTTCTAAGGCAAGCAGAGATGAACACACATAGCTACATACAGGCCTGACTCCTGCTGCTTTGAGAGCAGTTGATTCCACCTCCTTATTCACAGACTCTCGATCTGAAGATCTCCCACTGGCAAGGCTGTCCAGGGAGTGGCAGGACGTTGCATTGTATAAAGCTTCATACGGGCTCTCCTTTTCTGGGTTCACATCAAAATCTATGATCAGTTCTGTAACTGCTTTCTCCACATCACCTGTGAGAGGAAGAGAGAGACAAGAGCATCACTCGGGGCTTCTGCCCTCGGAAAGTCAGCACTTTGCAGGAAGAAGAGTGCTAGTGATGGCCGTGTTGCATGGAAGCCTACCCTGAGATATCCGGCACACAGGATCAGTGGCTGGAACAAGCGGTGCTTGAACAGTCTTCTCTGCAGCTTTGGCACTTTTCTTCCCAATCGTGTAATCTGCAACGAGGTGGGGCAACAGGGTCAGTCTATGTCAAGCTAGTTCTGCATCCACTTCAGCATATGGTACTTCCTCCCTTGCAGACGGAAGGCCAACTGTCGGCTTATTAAGTCTCCAAAAAGTAACTCAAGTACATTATTAAAACTTGCAGCTCAGATCCCAAAATAGAAGCAGACGGCCTCTTTAATCACATGCACAAGGTTAAGGATGGTTCTTTGAACTTCACAGAGTCTTTAATCAGAAAGCTGCAAAGCTCCTCTATGGACACAAAGTTACACATGAAGCAGATTACTTCATGTTGTAGACACAAGCGACATCACTAAACAGAGATGCAGTCTGGTCGTCTGGAGTCATAAGGCAGCAGAGAAAACAATTCTAGCTGTGGTCCCTTAACCACAGCAGAGCCAGAAACATTAAGCTTATGTGAATAAAGTCAGACAGCAACATCTCATGTAGCTAGCTTACTTACAGGAGCAAACAAACTAACAGCATTTACCTGCAAGAACTTTAGTTTTAAAGCTCATCTTCAATTTCAGAATAGAGATAACACCTACCAACCTCACAGGCAAAGCTTAATTAAAAGTCTGCAAAGTGCTTTGAACCTGTAAAGCTCTCAAATGCTAAGCATGAATGACGCACACCAGTTGCATACGCTTCTGATCTTTCTCCCCACAGCTGAGAGGAAATTGAGACAGCATAATTACAAGGTATGAATTTAGCTAAGATGCCACACTTCATTCCCTAACTTGGAGAGGCACAATGGGCCAAGCTCCTTTATAAACCACAAGTAATCAAGGCCTTTTCTGTAAATCTCATCTGCAAAATCCATGCCCAAGCTCCACAATGAAGTGAGGAGTAGGATGTAAGATCCGTGGACAACTATTTGCCTACACAGCCACATGAAGGACAGTTAATCTAAAACCATTTCTAAAGCTATTACTCTGCATTCTGCAAGCAGATTTAGGCTATCCTTAATTTTAATTAACTTCTAAAGTGAGTTAAACAAAGCTCAATTAAGGCCATTTAAACTGTAAAAGTCATGCCACACTCCTTCAGCAAAGGAGCTAATCCCCCTAAATACCATCCCCCCCCCGAAGCCCCCCTGCAAACGCTTGCTCTGAAGACAGCTCACCCGCGCGTTTAAGCATCATTCCTTCCAGCACCTGTAAGATTCTCATCAAGGGACCTGGCCTGAGGCTGCTTTGCTTGCAGCACTTCCCAGGACCAAAATCCTGTACTTGCACTGGCAGTTATCAGCCCAAACTTTTCCCTCCTGCTGCACACAGAGCTCCACCACTTACCTTCGATGAGAGCTGCTATGTGTTGGCTTTTCTGCGAAGGAAGTTCCCTGACAATATCCAGAGCTGTCAGGCCTCTGTTATCCTTTATGTTCACATCAATACCTATGGCAATAGGTGTAGAGAAGGCAAAAGCAAGGATATTTTCAAACTATATGCAAATTCATGTCTTTAATCAAGTTAGCGCTTACACTTGTGATCATCACTGGGGGTGGGGGGGAGGCTAAAAAATGCTCTAGAGAGGCAGATTTAAAGCCTAACACCAAGAGATAACCTCTCCTATAACCCTCTCCGAGGAACAACGCTTTGAGAGCTGGTCGGAGAAACATGCTGCTGCTGTAAAGGGGTTTCCTCAAGTTCTGGGTGAAGGGATCACCATGTTAAAGCTTCAAAAAAGGGGGACATTCTCTCACCTGCAGCCAGCAATATTTGCACCACATCTGTCTTGCCAAACAAAGCAGCTTCGTGCAAAGCACTGCCTTTTTCAGTCTGCAAATTAAATGGAAAATAGCATGAAGCTAGACAGCGGGGAATGGCGATGGAGGCATGTTTTAGAAGGTTACAGAAGCAATAAATATACAGCATCATATACAAAGTGTGGGCAACAATATCTACAACTGCGGCTAAACTATCAATATTACTACAATGCTGAGAGTTTGGAATGGAAAATGGGATGGTCTCTTCACAGAGACATGCAGGCCCAGGTTAGAAACCAAGGAAGGACTTTCTACAGCTTAGCAAGAGATCACATCCTGAAAAGGACAGACAAGACCACCACATACAAGCTACTGCTGTGAAAACAGCATATTCACAAGTGGCTTGATAGGAAGAGAAACAGTTTGCCCCCATTGCTATCAAGAGCTCATGGTTTTGCAGGGCAGAACAGCTTAGGCAAAAGGGCTTTTTTTCTCCTCCCTTGCTATGCATCAGGGGCTCTTTGTCCAACTAACGAGCAGGCATGAAGCATGCACAACACCAGAATCCCTCCGAGCAGCTTCTCAGCGCAACCAAGAGCTGAACACACAGCCCAGAGGAAAACCAAGCCATCGCTCATCTTTCATAAACGATCCCTCCAGGAGAGGGTTAGGTGGAGCTCTGTATCATCACTACAGGGGTTCTCCACCCCGCAGCAATCAGACCAGCCCTTCACACGCAGACACGCTACGTACCTGATAGTTGCTATCCATGCCAGCATCCAGGAGGACATGGACTACAGTTTTGTGACCATTCCTAGCTGCCAAGTGCAGGGGAGTGTGTTTCTTAGTGTTGCAGCTTAAAAGATTGGGGTGAGCGTTCAAGAGCATCTTCACAACTTCCAGCCTCCCGTAGAGCGCGGCCAGGTCCAGCGGAGTCTCAAACTTGTTATTGCGCATGGTGGGGTCGGTCAGCTCCTCCAGAAGGACCTTCACCACCTCCGTGTGGCCGTACTGCGCGGCGCAGTGCAGCGCCGTCTCGTTGTCGTTGTTCTGGGGGGGGTCACAAACGCCAGCGCGTCAGAGCGGGGGGAGAACAGAGCTGCTCCGTGCCTCGCTCAAACCATTGAAGTTTAAATGCAAAAACAAGACAAAAAAGCAGTCGGGAAGCAGAGAGCCCTGTTTGAAACAGAGCCTGGAGCAACGTTTTCACCATCTCACTAGCCATTTACCAGGCACAAACATCCCCTCATGAACTCAGCAACTGACCCACCCAGTAAAAGCTTCAAAAACGTTCAGAACAATAAGCTTTACTCAGATATTTTGTGTTCAAAAAACGGGTAGATGTGGCACTTCAGGACATGGTTTAGTCTAGTCTACCCTTGATTGGCTTAGAGTAGACTTGGTAGTGTAGGTTAATGGTTGGACTGGATGATCTTAAAGGTCTTTTCCAACCTAAACGATTCTATGATTCTATATGGGAAATCTGCTCTATGGGAAATAGGTGCTATATATGGAATAGCCTGCTTTCAAAGCACTGAGGTCAAAATCAAGGCACCATGCTAAAGTTTAAGGGATTGTCAAGCTGTATCTGGATCCCCATTAATTCTGCTAGCACTGGGGGAAAGCAGTCTGTTATTTGTTGGCAGCATCCCACACGTCGGGGTGCCACAAAAATAAAAGGCTGCAATATACGCTAGGCAAACTGCAGCATGAATTCTATCTGCTGTAGCTTAATTGTCATCATTTTAGATTTAAACTTCAATTGTTTCAAATCCTACTTATCCTGATTATAACAGTCATTCCACCTTTGCAATTCTGAAGCTCGCAAGGTTTAGAGAAAGGGTGCATAAAGTTACATGCAGTTTGTGAATTAGAAAGCAGAGCAATTCGAACATTCCACTAACAAGCCCTTGTAGCCAAGGGCTCGGGTCAACTGAGGGAAGAGATGTCCGAGAGACAAGAGAACACCTCCACAGTGAAAGCCAGATCCAATTAATGCATGCAGCATCTGTCAAGTTGAAAATCAGCAATGCAAAGGATTGAAAGACAAGCAACCTAACATATTTCACTTGCAGGTGCAAAATAGGAACATTGCCAGATTTAAAAGAGCCTTTTCTCAAATTAAATTCACCTCAAGTTTCTAGTCTTATTACTGTGTGTTATACACAGAAGGATTTCTGTTTGAGGACTTTAGAAACAAATACTCATCTAACAATTTGACCCAAAAAACTTTAGTACAAACTGTTACACACTTCAACTTTAGCTGAAAGAATCATGGTTGAATTTGCCATTTTAAGAACAGTTCCCAATAAAAAAAACCAGAGAACGGATGTGTCTTGATGGCATTAGAAGTACTACTTTAGAAACTGAATTTGATCAAAATACCTTCCTTTTTGCTTTGAGAGCACATGCGCTTTTTTGGATACCAGCTTGTAGGAGCAGTCAATATTTTGCACCATTTCACAACCACGCTGCAGAACTTGCTCTGTTGTACAAGCACTTTAATCCTATTAACGTGTTAAGTCATTCTAGGGATTACAGGAGTCATGCATGCAAGCTCCCATTTGTTTTTAGCTGGTATTTGCATCATTTTTCAGCCACGTGAAAAGCATAAGGGAAGCGAGGAATTCTGGAGAAGCTCTCTGCAGCTGCAACTTGTATAAAAGCAAAGGCTAAGGAGGCCGGAAGCAGCAACAGCCACATGCAGAAGCGAGATATTTAAGAAGGTAAGGAAAGCATGGCACCACTGTTAGCACAGAAGTTCAAAGTCAGACAACAGGCTCTATACTTGGAGTGGCAGAGGCAGCCATGGTGAAGGAAGGCACATACAAGTGGACAGAAGTTACTGTAGAATAAAGGAGTCTGCACATAAAATACACATACGGAGTGAGAAGGGGAGAGAACAGAGAACTACAGAGATTACACCTATCAATCAGCTTAAGCTGCTGGTCTCGAGGCATTTAAAAGGTTGGCAAATCACATTATTCTTATTGGAATTCGGAAAGGAACCCAGGTATCGGTGAGCCCATGACGCAGCCAGACCGATGCCCTCAGCCTGCCCCATAGCACGAGGGAGGCTTGCTGCCCATTTTCGCAGAAAGAGTAGATAACCCCAGCCCCTCTGGAGCAGCAGGTATCTGCCAAAGAGCCATGGGGGGCACGCACAGCTGATGCCACGCTAGCCCTGGCTACAGGGGATTTCCACGTCTAGGACTGTCCCCCTCGCATCCCTCCCTGGCACAGAGACCGCATCCCTCAAGGCTGCTTTAAAGCACACAGCAACTCCAAACACCTGCCTGATAGCTCAGAAATGGGAATGTGACATCCTTCAATAACATAATTGTCAAAGATTTCCCCCATCTTTACTGCAATTTAGTCTAATTTCCCTTAAGCAGGTCAGGGCTCTGACGCTCAGGATGAAATCTCCAGACTTATCCTGCAACAGAGATCACCAGGTGGTAAACTCCCCTGAATCATTACAGCAAGTCTTTCCCCATCTCAGACTGTGTACTGGAAACTCCCACTATTGCAGAAGTCTTTATTGCCTCCATTTATAGGGGAGCTTTGAGCAGCCAAAAATGCTCGAGCCGTTCCAGGCAAGGGAGCTGGCCTCCCCCTCCCCCCCCCCGCCTCTCCAAGCACAAACCAGAGCAGAGCCTGAACAATGACCATGAGCGCTCAGACATACATATTTATCGGAGATGGAAAAAGAAAATTCCTTTCCAGCAGCCAGAAGGCACATGGGTTCAAATTTCAAAACTTCTTAGAAAAATAGAGTGCTCAACAGGGCCCAGGGGCTGCATTCTTGCAGGAATCCTAGCATCCCCCCAATTCACAGTTGGGAGTGAGAAGCCGGGCTCGTACGATGCCCGCCTACAGACCACAAACCGGGAACACAAGCAGAAATGCCTCTGCTTTCATATGGGCTCCATCAAAATTTTTCAAGCCCTGGTAACTAGATACCACATACCATAGCCCTTATGCTCCTCATCACACAATAAAATGGAGCATCTACAGCTCCCTAAAGTGTATCTGTCTGCGCTCCTGTTCTTAACACACCGTAAGAGAGCTTTGCTTGGAGAAAGGGAGACTTAGTTTAAATAAGGGAAACTTGTCTAACTTTCTAACCTGCAAAGATTTGAACGGTCGCATAAACTGCCAAGGGAGAGCTGTCCCTCTCTGAGGTTTTTGAGAAGCTGCTAGACAAACACTGGTCAGGAATGGTTTAGGTAGACCTGATCCTACCTCGGGGCTGGGGAAAGAGGCTACAAGACCCTTCAGTCCCATCCAACCTATTTTAAGATTCCTTTTTTGTAGGATTTTTGTCAGCGTGTGCATGTCTGATGTAGGCTGGCCCTATTAAAAACCTACTATTTTGCTGCTCCAGTGACACGACTGATCCTAAAGCACAGAACAGGGATGTCCCGCTGGCATCCACTCCACAGTTTCAGTTAAAAGTTTCAGTTTCAGGCAAAATGAAAGAAAAACACCATTAAGCAAAATCCAAACTTCACCAGGAGGTGACACCCAAGGCACATCGCAACCTTGGGCACCAAGCAGGCCAGAAGGGTCAGCTGGAGCTGCCCGGTCCGTCGTACCGGCTCCTTCCCTCCTTTCGCAGCACAAAATTTCCATCAGTGCCCCACACGCGCTGCCAGGAGCGGAGTAAGGAGGAAGAGGCCTCCTTCCTTCCTACAGGTGCCCAACAATGCCAAACACATTTCAGAAAAAATAGAAAATGATCCCCATATGTCCAACAAGCTTTCGGGAGCTCTGTGGGTGGGTTTGCTGCCCAGCTTCATTTGCAGACTCCAGATGGTAGGCTTCCACTTTTCTCTAGAGCCCATTTAGATTTATAGCATTTTAAACCCAATCTGCATGATTCATTTGCTTCCAATTAAAAAAGCCAAAGGTAGTTTGCGCAGTGCACAAACCTGAGCTATGTGACAGCTTTTTCTACTTTGGCTCTGCTTAACTGGTTGCTTCCTTCATACAAATTAAATAACCGAATTCAAGACAGCAGGAGTTACTGAAGCAAGAGTTGCTGTTCCACCTCTTAACTTTGCTTCTATCATTTGCTGTACAGAAGTCCTTCAGGCCCGTAACAGACATATTGCAGGGACCTCCTATTGAACAAAGGATGTTGAAAAGGAAGGGGCATAAAAAGAAGCTGTTAACTATTTCTTTAACTTTTAGGAGAGCAAGAAGCTTCTGGCTTTCTTATCTCTTCCTCAGCAGGACAGTAAATTGTAGTCCAGCCTTATAGAAATGCTTCCCCCCTCTTCTAAATATCCCAAAATGTTTGGGAAGATGAAACATCTCGCTTCAATCATTTCTGTATGACATCCCACCCTGCACAGGAGCTGAGAAGCTGGAAGCACCAACTAAGCAAGGACTCTTGCACTTTGCACCTGGACTTTTTGTGGTTCTCCCACCTGCAGCCAGGCTACTGAGAAAACACCAGGGTTTGCATGACAGGTATGATTCCACATGCTCTTCATCAAACCCGGTCAGAAACTGGTGGAAAGCCGGTCAGAACTTGTGATGAACCTAACAGATTGTGTATAAATCACATCTCTCTCCTCAAAACCAAGGCAAAGATTTCAAAAACACTAGCCTTGCTCTCCAGAGCACTACAGCCATCTTGAAAAGTGAATTGAGACTTTAAAATAATGCACTTGTCAAATATAAAATCCAAAATTAGAGTATTTCGTAAACAAAAATCCACAAGAAAGTGAGCTCACTGTATATTTCATCTTTATATTCCTCCTTCATTCAACATTTTAATGCTGGAGTGTGCACGATTTTACTCTGTTATTGACAATGTTTTAGAAAGCTCCTTTCAGGCAACTGACCTGCTTGACTATGATGTTTCCACAGAAGACATTCGTTGTTGTAAAATTCCCATCTGGGTTTTTGTAAAAACCACCGATAGGGATGAGCTTCATGAAAATATATTTGTGCTTAAAGAGGTATGCACTAGAGTACTTCCTGAAATAAAAGTCTGCCAAAACAAACGTAATTCCCAGTGGTTAGCAAGCTCAGGAACTTTGAATGTGTGTTTTTCAGGTACTGCAGATCAAGCAGAGTGAAAGTTTTAACTAAATTTTTGAGAGACAGAAATCTGCCATGGCTGGCTGGATCCAAAATAATTGACTGGAAGCAACTGTGGCATGGCAGCTGAGAGCAGAAGCATCTCATGATAAATCAGCAGACTATTATGCCATCACTGGCCTGCAGCTTCACTATAAATAAAAATGAAAAATGGTGCCTGAGAAACCACCACCAGGAACTTTCTTATCCGCTTCCTCAAGTGCTCAGCCTCAGCGCATCGTAAGTGCTGATGTCATGCCTTTTTGTAGCTCAAGAACAACTAAAAGCAAGAGAGGAGCAAAATAGGCAAGAAAACAGGAACAGAAGACTAGGGCTGAAGGGTCAGACGACACAACAGACTTGACATCAAAAAAAGAGAGATTGATGCAATAAGCAGGACATGAAGGACTTGGGAAGGGAGGCATGAACATTACTGCCTTCCCTTCTCCCCACCACCACCAAAAGAATTAACCGACCATTCAAACGACAAATACAGCATTATGCTTTTTGTAGGAGAAAAGGCATGAAAATTCACTCCAAGCAGCCCACAGAGAAAATGCATCCATGTTTAAGCAGGGAAAAAAACCAAATTTCCTTCTCTTTGCATTTATCAGCAACATTAGCACATGAAACAACCTAAAGCATTTTAATTGAAATAACATTACCTTTTGGAAGTCATCCAGCCAAATCAAGCAAACTGACCGCCACCGTGAGTCCTACAAGGCTAAGCAATGAAGAAGCCCCCAGGAAAATAAGGAAAAGCTTCCCTTAAATTATGTTTCTATAACTGCTTTGAAGAAAGAAACCCACAGTAAATAAAGGGTTGCATTTTACTTTTCCCCAAGCGGCTGCAAACTGAACAGGTATTATTGCAACTGGATGACATTGCACCTGGAAGCACGCGAGTGCAGCTTGGAGTAATGATGCAGTGAAATGCTGACAGCAAAGTACACACCTTGGCATTGATATATGGGTCAAAGGGGCCGTACTTTTTGAGTTCTTTGATCTCAAGAGCATTCTACAAAAAGGAAGAGGAAAAAGAAAAAAAAATGTGATAATGAAATGGGTGAGATATAGCAACAAAGCAATGGGTGACTCCCAAGGGGTGGAAATGACAGAACACAGCATCTTGTTCCAGTCAAAGCTATTAACAGCAGAAGCCATTCCAGCTGCCGATTCCTGTAACTTGAACCACTGTGCATTTCATTTCCCAGACTCCAAACACAAGCAGCACAGGCTATTTGGCTGACTCTTCTCATTTCAAAAGGTACCTACTAAACAGACATTAATGAAACATTACCTGGAAGGATTACACTAAGCTTTTCGTCTTTTGCAAAGGTTTCCCCTATACCTGTCCTACTCCGAGCAGAACAGTTGACACTCAGGGCTCTCGGTCAGTTCTTATCAGATGGATCATAAACAACTAACTACACTTCTCAAATCTATTTAAACAGACTGAATGCCTGCAGCTGTGCCTGAAGACATCACTAACCACAGCCCCAAACTGGAAAACTAACAAAGACATTAAAACACACACTCTTAGTTATTTCTGCTCAGTTGAGGAGTGGTAGCAAATAGCATCATCACCGTATCTTTCATTTTGTGATGCTTTAGAAGCAACCATTTAGCCTTGGAGCAGCCTGATGCATCGAGGTAGCCATCTTATACTGAGGAACAGAAAGCTTAAGCGTGGCACTTCGGTCCCCACAAAGTATGGCTGGGAGCAGGATTAGGACTCCTAAACCTGACTCCAAAGGGAATTTGCTCCTCAGCTTCTGAAAAGTATACACCACAGATCAAAATTAAACAGCAGAAACTCACAGTTCCCAGCTGTTCATCTTGACTTTGACAGATTTTGCTAAACTTGAACCATGAGTATCTGACCTACTTGTGAATTAACTTCTGAAGGAATACACATTTTTAGCCTTGTGGCACTAAGGCAAACAAACTGATTTTGGTTTACTCCTCTGCTCCTGGATGAAACCCTGAGTGGTTTAAGAATTGAGTCACAGGGACATCAGACATTCCTGCCTTAGGGACAGGACAACCAAGGGCTATTGTAGCTTTAACCGTCTGATTTGGATCTCTTACTGCATGTCTGCCCACACTCACTCAGCCTAAGTGGTTCAGTAACAGTGTTCAGCTGGCCTCACTCAGTGAACCAGTTCCTTTATCCGAAACTCTAAAACAAAAGAAATATTTGGGTCTTACAGCAGTAGCATTTCAGAAGTTTCCTGGAATTGCAAGATGCCTGCTGACTTCCACGGGGAAGTTACACGGGAGCCAGCCCTCCAAAGTGGCCGCAGCGGCCGCTGTACAGAATAGCTGTCTCATACAAATCAATCCCTCTGCATCCTAGACCAAAACCTATCAGCTTGACAAAGGGAAGAAATCCACCAGATTTTTTTTTTTTCTTGCCTGATTGAGAAAATAATTCTTTAAGATTAAGCTAGGGATTTATCTGGGGGCAAGTAGGGTTAAAATTATCTTACAACTTACAAATCAGTTAACTGGAGCAAGTGCTAGAGACAAGCCAGGAGAATAGCTAAGAGAGCATGGCCAAACAAAGACTAAACAAAGCTGCTTTGATTAGTTCCCAAAGAAGGAGCCAATGTATCCTTTGACAGAACTAGAAACTTCCTCAGCTATCCAGCAACTGAAAGGAAAAACTGTGGGTTAGTTTCAGAAGCCCAGTGTGAAAGCAGGAGACCACTTCCTACGTGTTGAGTGGTTCTTGTATTTGTATCTCTCTGTATAAACATACACACCTTACTCATTCAACCGCTACCTCAGAACTGGAGGTATTTGCTTTAGGCAGTGCCCTTATCCCATTAGCAAATAGGACTTTATAACAATTGTTACTGGTATGGGAGGGGTCAGGAGTCAGCTGAAGTAGTCTCTCTCCGTCCGAGGGAAGCAATTCAACGATATATTAGAGAAAAATACGCAGACCTGCTCATTCACTTTAGTATGCGAAGGTCCCTGATGGATGAGGAGCTTCACTATGTCTGCATCTCCCTTCCAAGCTGCCAGGTGAAGAGGGTAACAGCCTTTACAGTCTGCTACGTTGGTTAGCGCATCGTTCCTCAGCAGAACTTCCACCACATCCCTGCAAGAGAAAGAACCTTGAGTCCGTAAGATATTCAGCCCTTGTTTCTCAGCTTACATTCTGCAGTAAGTTGAGTATTTTACGAAAAGTTAATCTGAAAAGGAGTATTTCAGAGATCCTCTTGAAATGTGATTTTAAAGCGTTCCTATTAAATGCTGCCCAAGGGAAAAAAAAAGACAGACAGACTGCTGAGACGAGCTCAGGAAAGATCTACGTTACCTTCATACTAATGGAGCTGAATAGGGACTGAAGCCATCCACAAGCCACTCTGGTGAAAAGTGAACTGCACCAGCATGACGATGATGAATAAGGATTTAAACTCTATTCAATTTCTCAGTATCTTGAGTAGCAATGAACAATACAAGATTTACCATGCTGGAGACTGGAGTTTCTTAAAAATGTAATACGCACGAAAGCAAATTTTAAGTGGTGCAGGCACAGCAACACATTGGACACCAGACAGACTGCAGAGGACTGTTACTGGAGAAGCCACCTTTAGTATGTTGTTATATCTTATCCAAATTGCTTAAAAATAAAAGGGTGGTTGAAAACCTCAGCGTTTCGCCAAATTTTTAAAGAGATGTATGATCATACTGTGCAGCAGCCAATGCCTCTACAGCTTCACTGCACTGATGTTCTTCACCTCTTGTCCTGAAGATGGTGTAGTGCTGCACCATTGCCACGTTTTCAGTGGAAACAGCATTAGACCGGTGAATGAACTGCACAGAAACCGTAGCTTGTAAAGCACACAGTATCCCCTACGATCAAAGACATGATAAGATGACTCACTTATGACCATTCAAAGCAGCATGGTGCAGTGGAGTGTATCCCGTACTGTCAACGCAGTTCACATTTGGCCCTCTCCAGATGCTGCAAGACAGAAAACGTACAGGGAACACTTAGGCATACACCAAACAGATGGACAGCTGGCAAGGACAAGTTTCAGCAGAGTTCTCACACCAAGTTGGTTATCTGGAAGCAAACCAGTGGCCGGACAGCTGTGGTTAAGAGCAGTAACACAGAGAACAGACCGCACAGCACAGCGTCGAGCAGAGGGGTTAGTGTCACAAAGCACACAGCCGGTACAGCGATCCACTACTCGATGCTTTATTAGACCATCCTGGTTTTAAATCACAGCTCCCACGTTCTCCTGCTACTAGAGACCATCCTGGTTTTAAATCAGAGCTCCCACATTCTCCTGCTACTAGACATCTTTCAGCCATACACATGCTTGCCAAAAAGCATCTCAGAGGAACATGTGTCTATTAAAGTTAACCACAAGAGACAGTAAACCATCAACCCACCACTAATTCACACCCCTCTGAAGAATTTTGATGGGTCTGGGAAACCCTCTTCCCTCCATGGCAAGAGTCACTAGGGGTGTAAGTCAAAGACTGTGGGATACAAAGCCTGCTCTTGGTCACCAGTGTGATTCCACGCTAACTTCTTACTGTCCAAAAATCATTTCCATCTGACAGCTGTTGGCAGTCTATACGAAAGAGTAGGTGGTCTCCGAGCACTTCTGAGAATATTGTTAACTTCCCTCCCTTGTTCAAAAGTCAAACACCAAGGATTTACGGATTAACCCTGTGGAGGATTAATCTTCCCTCGAACCCCTGCAAGGTGTCCTATTTGAAACAGCGGAGAAACGCACGTGTAAGAAGCTGGCCCTGCTCTTGGGCTTGCGGTTAAAGGAGTTTGGCTTCTACTGGCACCCCTCACCAGCCCTACCACCCTCTCCCAGAAAGGGCACGTGAACGCAAACCAACACGTTCTTATAAGCAAATTGAAACCCTTCATCTCTCCTGAAGATGGCCCTGTCCATTACAGCCCATCATTCCTTGTATGCTGGCCTGTTTTAAACTTAATACTTTCAAGACTTATGCAGGATTTATGACAAGCCCAGACAATCACACTTTTGCTAATACAGTAGATTTTCCTGCCTTGTTTTCTTTAACTAGGGGTAGGACTTAACAGCACCCCCTAATCCCCAATGTAATTGGTTTAAAATAAAGTCAACTGTTGCTTTTTATGAAGTAGGCCTTTCCTGATCATTTCATTTCCTCCCCAGCATGTAATCGCTACGACTCACTGTATGATAGAGGCGGCCCGAGCAGTAACTAGCTTTTCTAAAATAACAGTCATTACTAGAGGGCTCCTAGCCAGAAAAAACTCTATACCACAGTGTGTAAAAGCAGCAGGAAAGGCACCAAACCAACAGGAACCTCGTGCAGACCAAGTGGAAATTCAGAAGTAAACTAAGCAGCATGCTTGCTCTCCAGCACATTTCAGGTGGGATTCAGGAGCATGCTCTGAAATGGAAAGTCTCTCCCCTCCGAGCGACTCCTGATCCGGCAGAGCATTATAAAAGGCTTTGCAGTCCCGAGACAGGCACAAGCCCCACTAGAGGAGAGGCAGCCAAGGGGAAACTTTATCCAAGAGGACAGGGAAATAAGCCACAAAATCCAATTTGCAAAGGATCAGAAGGCTTATCCAGAGGCATTCCCGCACACCACACGCCATCCTGCGCTTCAGAAGGAAACGGCAAACCAATGCATGCACGCATTTCAAGGGCTACTCGCATCATTTGCGGGATGATGGCTTAAACTATGTCCAGAAGATATGCGAGACACAAAAACCAGTCAGACTGAGCCCAGGAGGTGCCCTACCCCATCCGGCTGCAACAGCCCTGAAGCATGAAGAGGACCTGAGGAATTCTCAGGCTCTGGTTTATTTTTGGCAGTGGGCTCATGCAGTGTGGTTGCCCAAATAATTTATTGCTGGATTTAAAGTGGCAATTAATGGTTAAAACTAGTGCCAGAAAGACTTGCGTGTAGTCTGGAGCAGTTATAAATACTGCGCATCCCCTTGCACAGCCTTCTAACCTGACCAAAGCCAGAGAGTTCAGCGGTTTTACATATTAAACAGAGCAGTGTTTTGATGCCGAGCTCAAAAAACTTCAGGGTGTACATATGAAAAGCCAGCAGCATTTAATACAAATATTTCTTTCAGCTGAAGTTATGAAGTAAGGAAAACCAGGGTTAGTGGTGTAATGGGCATAAACCAAGTCGCTTGCTCAAAGCGATGCACCCAGCTGGCAGCAAGACCGGGGACTGGAGCCCAGGATATCCGTCTCCACCAGAACATGCTCTCCCTGGGAGAAAACACACTTCCATAACCTTCCTTAGAAATTTTCTGCTTAATGATTTAGAGTAAAATGCGAAGTTCACTCAAGGGACCCAGAGGAGGAAAAAAGCTGGAGTCCAAGTGGAGCTCGTTCAACAGCAAACACTGGGTACTGCAGAAATAAACTGCTAAGATTTTAAGATTTAAAAAAAAAAAAAAAAAAAATCTGCTGTGTCCTTTCTTCCCCCTTGCCCTTTTATTCTTGCAAATAAAGAAAGCTTTTATCAAAGAAAGGTCAAATCACCCAGAAGTTCAGACTGAAAGGATCCAAGAAGAGAACTGTTTATATTTAGATGCGAGGACTGCAATGAAGCACTCGCTTCCCTCCTCTTCCTCTCCAGCTCTGCTAGGAAGGCCATACAGTTCTCCTGACTTAACAGAAACCAAATCTTCCATCCCATTTTTATTTACACAATGCACAGCATTAAAGTGACAGGCTAAGATAAGATCTCAAGCTTCTCATGTTAAGTCTAAACACAGGAAAATAACTCCACTATTGTCCGCAGAAACTAAGAGTTGGAAAAATGCTAGCATGGGAATGTTACTTCTGAAAGACGCTGCAATTCCCCCAGAGCACTATTTGCAGTGTCTGGTGCATCTGATTGGAACGACATCTCAGGCAAAATCTGTAGGAACCGTGGCACAACTACTGGAAACAAAGCCCAGGCTCTAATCTAAAATATTAGGAAAACCCCCTCAGACAACTTTGGGGAGGAGGTGGGTACTCTGGGATTAAAATTAGACCTTTTGAAGCGAGGAGTTTATCAGGTCTTTTCAGGCCAGACATGGAAATTTAAAGAGATTTAAGTCAACAGGAACAACTCAGCAAGACTTTGAGATGTCAGGCTCATGGGTATGTGGAGCCCCATTCAGCCAACCCCCCTTTGGGACAAATAAATACGGAATAGCGTCTAACTCCTCTGGGTTCAGCCCATATTTCACAACACGGAGAAGAATAAAAATTATACACTAAGAACCAAGTAAGTGGGTTTTATGGAGACACAAAAAAAAAAAAATCACTGCGTGGAAATCAGGAGCCCGCAGCAGCCGGGCAGGCTCAACGCCTTCCGGAGGGGTTTCGCCTTCAAGTCACCAACCTCCCGCCGTGCTAAGGCACAGATGCTCTCACCAAGGCCCAGGGCCCACGTCTCCACCTAGAATATGTTACCTCCAGTGGCTTGCAGATGAGAAATGAAATGAGAAAGAGATGAGCTGAGGCGCTGTGAGATCATGCAGTGGTAAAGCCTGAATCATTGCATCTTCACAATGCCTACTTACAGACCTGTTGCCCTGATTTTACGAGGCAGAGGGGAAGTAATTCAAAACAGGGCAGTATAAACGTTGCCTTCAGCAAAAATAGACAAGACAGAACAAAACGCAGGAAATCCTAGCGCCAGACCACTGCGATACGGTTCAAGCCTTGCAAGCCAAGGTGTAGATGACGACTCTGGAAGCCACGAAGGCTTTACTCCCCGCTGTGCCTTGGGAAAAGCTCTACTTCCAGACCTCAGTTTTCCCATCTGTAAAATGGAAATAGAGCACCGAGAGAAGCAGAGTACAAAGCCAAGTACTATCTATGTACAGTGTGATTTTGGGCTGTTTCTGATTAAACAGAAAAACAGATCCCAGCACAGGAAGGAGAATGCTGTAAATACAAGTCTCCAATAAAGCTCAGAGAAGGTCTGGAGCCAATTCGACTACCACCGCTGTTTGCTTTCTTTTCTCCCCCAAAACCCCTTTACATCAAAGAGGGGCTTGGCTTTTATATTAGCAGTCTCCGTTATGAAAGCAACCTTCTCAAATTATTACCTAGATTTCACCTCCCTTTCGCTGCACCAGGGAAGTATTCTAACATTTCTGATGTATCTTGTTTAAGGCAATTAAGACCAAACATTAAGGACGTAAGAAAAACTCTGAAAATTGCAGCATCTGCTCTGTTTAAACTAATTCTCGTGCTCAGTTTTCTCTTGCTCCATGATTCAGCAAGTGCTGTAGCCTTTTAAATAAAGCTTCCTGTTTGTAAAAATTGCTGAATAAAGCGCATTGCTTTAGGTCATGATAAAACCCAATAGTTCCTTTAAACAAGACCATATTTGTCCTCTGGCATTTCCGTTTATTTCTTCCTGACTGCAGTAACTTTACTCACAAAATCATCTGGGGCAGTGGGCTAGAGCAAAGGCCAAGCCACCTAAAGAACAACTCGGTGTTTTCAAGTCAAATGATGAGTCTTCAGAGCTGATTTAGTCTCGCTTATGCAGATTACAGAAGCACCCGGAGACTCCAGGGACCCGGTCCTCTCGTGCAGATCAGACAGCAGAGGCCATTGCTACCCCGTGTATTTATGTACTCAACACTAAAGACAAAAGGAACAATATTAGTACTATCACTGCTTTAGATACAAGAATCCAGTGTACATGCGTGGCTTCACCCAAGGTCACAAAGGAAGTTTAAAGTAGCTGAGAACTGGTCCCAGATGTTCGGGGACTTAGTTCAATGCCTTAGAGACAAAGCATGAGGGCAGTTAAGGCTGGAGGCAGCTAACTCCTAGTCCATTGCCCGGAGGACATCACAAGCAAGTCACTACACACATCTCGGCTATTAATATCCGTACAACTGCTAGATTCTTGCAATGCTAACACAACCCTCTCTTGGTATTTCCTGCTTATAGACCAGTAATACAAACAACTCGGACGCTCTGTGCAAGACTTTAGGTTTAGAAAGCGCACTTCAGTGTTTCCGTAGAGTGAGAAAGGCAGCGCTACGCCCACCGGGAAGGTGCACGGCGTGGCAGGGCTCCCAACAGAGCTGCGACGCCTTTTCTCGCGTGCCTCAACCACTAGATAATACAATAGCCTTTCCAAAAATAAACTGCTGATGCAAGACTGGAGAAGATTAAAGCAGAGTATTCCTGGGGCAGGGGAGAACGTGGCTAGATCCCAAGTAATACTTTCTCGGCCCCTCTTGGCAGGCTTCAGGAAAGACCACGGAGAGCAGCCCGGTTAGATTCCAGCTATTGGAGAGGCTGCAAAGCAAGCCAAAGCGGTGATCTTTGGCTTCTACACTCCTCAACTTCTTTGTCCAGATTCTTCTTTGCTATAAAGCAAGCAGTCAGTTGGGATGATTGCTCCCACCAAAAACTCCTTGGCTGCCTTCTTCCTATAACTGTTGTCCGCACTAGCATCCTCTTCGGCCTTTCACATCCCCCTTTTCTCCCTGTTCAGCAGATTCCTTCCAAAAATGCAACTGTCCCCCACCCAACAAACTGAGGAACACACTATCTGCCTGGTCTGTTCCGCTCAGGCCTGAAGAGTTTGTACAGCTCCTAGCTCAATGGGAGCTTCATTCTGACTGCCGCTTTCAGCTTATCATAGAACACCTGACAAAAAAAAAAAGTGCTTTCTGCCTTTGTTAGTATTTTCCACCAACTGCAGCAGAGTTTGCTCTAAAAGCGCAATATTTAAGAGCCTGGCATTGTCATCTTACAGCTGCAGCATTTTATCAGTTACAAAACCAAATTCAAACATACTACAGAAAATGTGGGTGGCCATTTAATATAGAGGATAATTATATAATGCTTTGCAGAGAATCCAGGCATTTTAAATGCATGCAGAAGTCTCACTTCACATTCCAGTCCTATGCAGGAAGCATTTGCTGTATATGAAATCCTCCCACTAACGTTACTGCCTCCATTTTTCAATGGGAAAATATAAACTATAGTAATTCACATTTAGCACTTCAAACATGACAATGTTGCCAAGCATTTTACAACCAAATACAGTAATTACCTTCTACCTGATGTAGAAGAGCTCTGTTAACGGCCAAGGGGCTGCAAAGGGAGAGGTACAGATTGTTTTTGTTTGTTTTTGTTGTTCAAGTTTAGTTGTTGGGTCTGATTTTTTTTTTTTTTTTTGGCAACAACTCAGAACAAAATTTTCTTCTTGACTGACAAGGCTAAAATGCAACTTCATATGCTTAAATGAAAGGGAAGAAGCTGAATGGTCTGAGCTAATACTACATGTGCTTCTCAAGTGCCTCTAGACTTGGGAAAAACACACGCCAGAAGAACCGCCAGCAAGGATGCTATCCATAGATCATACTGTCCGCAAGACCTCTGGAGAGCTGAAGCTCTCACCAGCTTTTCACGCTGGAAGAAGCGGGGAAGTTAGGGCAGAGTGTATTCCCAAAGCTGTCGGGAGAAGCGTGGAAAAATCCTTCACACTGCAAGCAGTAAGTTACATTGATAAATCTTGATAGCAAAATGAAACGGAAAAGAATTACAGAGCTCAAATGATTACGAGTGAATTAAAGAGCAGATCTGGATTTACAGGGCTGTCAGCCCCCCAACCACAGACACTGCATACAGACAGCTCAAAAGGTGCAACGCTGAGTACGTCATCTTAAACTGGCTATGAGGGATCACTGCCCACGTTTCCTCCTGCTGGAACTCACAGGGTCCTCACTGTTGTGCTTAAAAATCTAAAATTAGAGGAAATGGGAGACCTCTGACCCCACGCACAAGAATTAACACACTGAAGAGTACAGCACTGCCCAGCCGCTACAGCATCAGCATAGATTCACATGCTGCTTTTAATACCTCTCCCTTCCAGAAGGCACCTATGGTATGTGAAAAATCGCCACTGAAATGCCGTTAGTTCTGGGCTGCAAAGCAGAAATTTTCCTGGCAATTAACACACAGGAGCAGGAAAGCAACACCTATAAGGAAAGAACATTGGGATCACAAACATCTGTGCAAAGCATCCAGTTTTCAAACCTGAAAAGAATAAAACCGCCAGAGCAGACAAATTGATCCTACCGGGATTTGAACACACCATTCCAGGAAATCTGGATACTTGAGACATGGTGCATAGGTTAAAGTCAAAGTTAAGGGGCACATGCATTAAACGCGCAGCCACCTGGAGTGCTGAACCTAGACACAGAAGACTGGTAAGCATCATTCCTACACCGACAAAGCATGCTAACTCCAGGCTCCTCCACGACAGGACAAGTGTGCCAACGGCTCTGCAGAGGAGACGCTGTTAATGTGGGGGTGACGGTGACTCACTTCTTGCCATCAGCAGAAGTCTCAGTCTTGCAGCTACGGGATTAATGTTGTGTCAGCCCATGCAAAGCAGGACTAAACGGTAGAGATAACAAAGCTATTTTCAGAGATGCACAAGGCAGCAATACGAGATCTTACTGTCTCTATTTTTCCACATTGTCGGAACATACCTTCTTTCCTTACAGAAATGTAGGCAGAGCTGAGTCAGGCAGTCAATCTATCAAGGAACGACAATTGTGTTTCCAATTAGAGCAAACAGGTGAAGACATGCAGTATATACATTGCAAAGAAGAATTCAGTGCCTGCTGGAGGTGCTTTTCCCCACTCTAATTGCAGGCAGCTCTTTCCAGAAAATTCCTTTCAAGCGCACGAAAAAGAATACAGTTTCCCAGTGCATGCATTTCTTTGCAAAATACCTAACAAATCTTGAAAACTAAACTCGGTGGAAGCCTGCTGAAAGCATTATGTTGCAGCATAAAAAGATCTCCTTGAACATGTAGCGTCCTCACCCAAGAGCAACTTCCAGATTTATGGACATGCTCATAGGGAGAATTTGTTTATTTTGCAGCTGCATTTGTGTATCGAGCAAGTTTTATGGGAGTAGTAAGTGTTTTCAACAGCTGTATCCACAAAGCTCCCTTTAATTCTCACATATACGTCTGTTTGCATACAACATGGCAGGGTACGCTTTCACCTCGTCTGGTAGCTGCAGTATCAACTTGCACTTCCCAGTGGACTTGTTTCCAACAGATTTTTAGATCAAGTTTAGATCAGGATCTTAGTGAAGAAGTACTCAACAGCTTCAGCAAATCTTGACTGCGCGTCTGCAACTTTTAATGGAAACTACCACCTAAATTTTCCTGGCACCCAACTTTTGAAGAGGGACAGTTAAGTGAGAGTATGAGACTAAAATTTCATCATAGCATCAAACATGAAAATTCACGGATATTTACGTAAACCAAAGAGAGCAGGAAAGCAAATCTCCCATCTCAGCTAGTTCTCCAGTAGGAAAGAGCGTGGCTGGAAGGAGAAACCAGAGCACAGCTCCGTAATGTTACAATAAAAAAGAAAAATTGGGGGTGAGTTTTTACTAGAGTGACTTTTTGATCTCCTACATGCATCCGGATTTCTTTCCTTTCAAAATTTTGGCCAAAAGAGGTAGGTTTGGCACATGAGAAAAACGTAACTTCCACTAGAGCGAAGCTGTCGCACGGCCCAGTTTCCAACAGCGGGATGCAGAGCTGAAGTTTTCCAAAAGAGGGGAATTCGTGTGTTCGGCAGGGGTGATGGTGGGAATACGTCTTTGACAAACACCGCAGAGGAAACAAACCACCTCCACGTGCATGCACCAAGAACGGCAGCATCGGGGTGATCGCTGCCCGAGCCCTCGAGGAGCCAGCATGGCCATTCAGCCCCAAACATGCACGGCAGCATCCATCTGCACCGAGGCTGTTACAGGATTTTGGCCACCGTCCCACTTGGTTCCCTTCCCTTTGCTCTCCAGGGACCGCTTCAGTCATCGCGCAAGCAGGAAGGCGGTTCTGCTGCTATTTAATTGGTATCCGCACCTCCCCCAAACCACTACACGCATCCTACACATCGTCTTGCTAGTAACATCCAACCACTTGGAAGAAAGTCTTAAAAGCATTTTTTCGGAAATTCTCCTGGGCTTTTTTTACTCCAAGTAAAACAAGTGATTCCAGCAACACCAGTGACTCCTCAATGCCCACCATCACACTGAAATCCTGGATATTTCCAGCCCTGGGTCACATCTAACTCACTGCATAAAATCCAAAGGCACTCTTTTCAATGCCCCAGAAGGACGAAGGCACATGCTTTCACCTGTGGGAATGACAGCACTTCCAATTTACAGTTATGGCTAACATCACACTTAAGGCTCACGTTCCCCGTAGCAAGAGTACTTTCCGTATTACTAAGCATGCTAAACAGAGACCAAATATACAGGACAGACAGATTAAAAGACTTAATCCTATTGCACTAAATGAAATATGCATGGCAGGGATGTGTTAATACCTGCGAGGCAGAGCTGATGGTAAGCACAACTGAAAAAGCAGCTACTGGGTGACACTGATGCCACGTAAAGTCTGAGCAGCAAGACAAACCTCTGGCCATTTCACCTCCTGGTAGACCTTCCCTCTCCTCTACAGCATCAGGACCAGAAGCAGCAGCTTCTGGCCATTCTGTCTTGAAAGCCTCAGGGCTTATTCTTTAGCACTTGCCAATTATTTGGCAATGCCAGCTTTGCATGTGTGCAGCACAAAAGTTGGAGCTAAACACTGAGAGGAGGAAGCCCAACACCTTCCCTATATCCCACCAGATAAACTGGAGCCAAAGACAGTTTAACAAGGTAAATTTTCCGCAAAGCCATAGCATCACAAGTTCAAGTACATGATGCCAGAACAGATGGGGCAACGTGGGGACCTTAATAAGGGCGGGACATGTGAAAATGACCCAGCTGACATTGCACAACACCACAACCCAGCCCGAGACCTGCCGGAGCTCCAGGCTCCGTAATCAGACACTTGCTCTCAACGTACCCAGCAGTGAAGGCCGAGCTACTGACAAGGGATTCGGGTGAAAATGCTCAGATTCAGTGCGATTTTCTGGCTGACACACAGGGACAGTCAGAGACAGCGCCTGGCCCTCTGCACAGGCACAGCGCGAGACCCCAAGCTCCCCAAGCGCTTCCACTTTGCCAGCTCATTTTCCGTGTGAAGCAATAGCCGGGAACAAAGACTGCTACCAGCTCCAGCCTCATTGCCCAACTCCGACAGACAGTTCAGCCAGCGCAAGGTTAACAGCGTGCTGTGAAAAAGCCAGCGTTTCAACCAGTGGAGCAATACCATGCAGCAACTGATCCTCTAACAAGCCAAATTGTTCCTTCTCTTTAACAACAGCAGAACCTGCTGTTGCCTACCAACTCCCGCTCCTCATTTCCAGGAGGACGCTGTTTCAGGTTGGCGCAAGAACTACGACAACCACACGTGGAACCTCTGGGTTTGCCGGCTCACGCCATAAAGGGAAGAGAGGGTTGGCATCGCTAATAGAAAAGCATCCATGCAAGCTAGAATTCCCCACTAGGAAGAGGGCAACCCTAGCCTTACAGATGGCTCCTGGCAGTGGAAATGCATTTCTTTAAACTTAATGCATGGCGGGGGGTGACAGTGGGCTCCGTCACCTGCGTTATGCAACGGGAGACGGAAAGGATGGGTCACGCGTGCATGTTACGCTACATCAAAGAATCCCTCCAAGCAGGAGGCAAAATAAATAGCTGCAGGAGAGGGGAAAAAAAAAAACCAAACCAGGTCTGGTTTGAGTGCATATGCTGCCTTTTATTCTTAAAAGCATTACAGACGCTCACTCTGCAATCTGCTCCCATTACGGGAGCATTTCCAGCTGATTACATGCAACGGAGCAGAGTTCACATACGTGGGCTCTACATGCTGGCACTGACTACAGGCGCCAGATCTAACCAAAGCTTTTCTGAAAGAAGTGCAAAAAATTTCCATCATCAAGACAGGGAAAGCCAAGCAGCGTCTCCAGGGGAAAGGGACCAGGAGCTTTGGTTTCTGATGTGTATGGTGTCAGGAGCATTCCCTTGTCCGCACACAGTCCGAAGGCAGCATGTTGGTAGGGGAAGAGAAGGGAAAATGGGAAGGTAACATCGAAATGGGATCACCCACGGGTCCTCCACATTTTCAGCTCACAAACACTACCATGCCCGACAACTCTGGCACTTAGCTCAACTGAAGACAAAACTCAGAAGAGATGAGGAGATTTCAGAAGGAAAGAGAAGGGAAAATGCTCACTGGTGTAATTTTAAAAAGAGAATTTGCATTTAGCATCTAATGTACACAACTGAATGCGAGATGCAGTCTCGCTAGTACCTTAACAACAGTATTCTCAAACTGGGGTGCCTACATTTGTCAGGGAGCAAACCTTGACCACCCAACA